AAAAATCTCATGACCAACATCTGAACCAAGCTGGACGTTTCCTCTGAGGCTCCACCATCTCTGGGTTTCTCCCCAGCTCTACGGCTCCTTTCAGAATCGCTTCCTGGGGTCTAAGAGGACACAGGACTTTATACTGACGTCCAAACTGATCAGTGATGTGCTGACGTAGAATCTGGCTCTCAGCCAATCCTCCCACTAACACAATAAACCCAATGTTGAGATTTTTGTCTAATATTTCTCTGAGTTTCTCTGTGATTCCCTGCAGACTATCTTCATAAAAAGATCTCAGTTTCTCTCTGGAGATCCTGATAGATCCATCATCCCAGGAAGCTCCTTCCACTGAATCAAAGAACGTTTCAATCTGTTTCTGTTTCTGAGCCACTATGACCAGGTTACCCGGGCAACTGATCTGAACATCTTCATCCAAAAGTTTGAGACGAGTAAAATCATACATCATCTTCTGAACCTCATTGGGGAAGCTTTCCTCATATTCATCCCAGACACCATCACAGAAGATTTCTATCAGGAGCTGTTTGAATTTTCTCTCCACAGTTTTTCCTCCCAGATCAATTTTAGAGTCGACATGCAGCGTCTTCAGAGGTCGTCCTTCCAGGACGTCATGAAAAGTGAAATTGATATCTTTATCTTTTGACAAACAACAAGAGAATAAAAATTATTAAAGAATTTGTCTCATAATGCAACTTATTTCACATTTTAGCTCAAATTCAGCAAACATTAATCAAAAAGGTCACATCATTGCAGTATGTTTATTGGGACTCTTAGTGTGTGAACCAAAAAAGTTTTCAAACTCGTCTTTAAACCTTTAATAACAGTGAGTAACTTTTACCTCCACAGTCGACAACAAGGTACCGTTTCCCGTCTCTTTGGGTCTCCAGCAGGACTTTGGTTTCTTCTGGTTCCACAGTAAACTGTACGACCTCCTGACCTCCTGCTGGATCTGTAGAAACACAGAAACCTCACTGAGCTGCTCTAGGAACAATGATCAATGTTTTTACAGGTAAAATCTGTTAAATGTTTGTCTGCCAGACGTTACAGATCCACTCAGTACCGTTCCAGCTGGTACCAGGTTCTGCTGCTCCTGCAGGTTGATCCTGTGAGTCTCTGCTGTGGTTCTGTGTGATGAAACCATCAGGTTGAAGCTTCAAACACCAGGTCAAAGCTGCTTCTGACTCCAGAACAAACATCAGTTTGTCTTTAGTGGCGTCTGTTACAAGACCAGCCTGGAGGAGAAACCAGAAGTCTGATTCTGATGAACATTCAGAGATGATGACTCTAAAAACATGATGTTACCTGAACTGCAGCTTCAATAATGAACTGCTTAGGGAAATCCTTCCAGGTGTCAGGAACAGTCAGCACCCAGGTGAAGTCAGATGCTGTGAACTCTCCTCCTTCTGGATGAGATCTGATGGTTTTCAGAGCATCGTCCTTCAGGAACCTCAGAACTTCTGTAAAAACCTTCAG